AATGTCTATGCGAGCTCTATCAAGACAAGTGTCAGAATTCATAAAATCAGCCAGAGTAACTGAAAGTCCTGTGTTAATTACAAATCATAACACAAGTCAAGGTTAATTACAATTAGATTTTAAATGTTTTGCTTAAGAATGCTAAGCTTATTTAGTCTAGAATGTATTAAAATTAAAACAAAATTCTTGCATGTGAAAGAAAACAGTATATAAACTGTTTATGTACATAAATATATATATATACTGTTTATATATATATACTACAGCTGCAGGGGGCAGGGGAGGGCTGTCCAGCAATATTTACACAGTACATAGTCATCTCAGAAGTGACAAAAAATAAGCAGTTTGAATATAAATTATTATCGGGACTTCTTTTGCCTCTTAAATGAAAAAGTAAGGCCATAACTTCTTAAGTACTCCTGGCAGTAAGGATTTGTTTTTTAATCTCACAGGGAATAACCTCAGATGCCAACTTGCACTTCTGGAATTTTACTGCCAGTTTTGTCATACCAGGGTTTTGCTAGGATTTTTTCACTCCTATATTTCGATCCTAAAAGGAGATATCCAGAACAAAACTCAGAGCTTAAATCAAAGGCAAATTGTTCCAAAGCCACACGTGCCATCTCACAAGTTCCTTCTAAGAAAAAATATTGAAGATGATACTACAAATGGCTTTAGAGATGAGTCTAAGAAGGTGACAGAGAACAGTTTTACCCAGGATATGGAGCAGGCATGAGATTTTTGAAGTCCAAAATTAGGAAGCAGTCTTCTGTGCAACTAAATAGAGATATTTCTAAAATAATAAAGGAAACTCCTTTCCTTTAGGAAAATGTAAAGGAATTTTGATCATTGTACTTAATGCAAAACTATAAACATCGGAGGGATCGGGGTGAAGGGTACCCTGGACAGAGGATCCTACTTCCCTCTTTGAAAGTTTACAATTATCACAAAATGAAAGTCTCAGAACATCTTAGTGCTTAAAAATTATTACTGTTTTGGCATGAAAATTAATTCAGTCATCTAAAACACTTCACTTTCTGAGAAGGGTCACAGCAGTGAAACATTATTGTATTGGGAAAAGGTTCAGTAAGCGGTCCACCAGGTCAGTTCTTTTCTTGGTTTTCTGTGGTTTTTTAAGACATCCATCTCCATAGATAGATATTTATTTTCACAAAGCTGAGTTCCCCCTAGAAGAAATTCTTAAAAACTTCGTGGACAAAAAGCCAGAGTCTGATTAGTATTTGAAATCTGACGTCTGTGCATTGCTCACATACTTGGTAGTTTATCACTTCTGGTCACATAACTCCGCAACACTTCCACTTTTATGGTTCCTTAAAAAATAAATCACAAAACTGCCGGCTACAATGGACTATAAATAGACCCAATGGATTCTCAGAGCTCAAGATTGTATTAAAGATCACCCTACTGCCAGGAATGTGAAGGGACCCAGCCAACGCAACACAGTGCCAGCTACACAGTGCCACTACCCATCGCACAACAGAACACACCTGCCGACTGCAAGCACGGTACCTAACATGAACTGTTTTTGGGTTTGTTTGTTGGTTGGTACCCGGAATCAGACTCGGGTCCTTGAGCTTGCAAGGCAGGCGGTGGAACCGGTGAGCTAAATCCCCGGCCCATGAACCGTTTTTTTAAAGAGACATTCTTGCAATAACCGGAACACCCACCAAAAGGTATATATCTGTATCTGTCAGCTTTCCTATTGCTAAGACACAATACCCAGCACCCACAACTTTAAGGAAAATAGGTTCGATTTACTGTTTCAGGAGTTTCAGTCCACGGACAGCAAGCTCCAAGTCAGAAACTTCATGGTGTGGTAGAGCAAAGTTTCTTAGCTCATGGTGGCTGGGATCAAGGAAACCCTGCCAGAAAGGAAGGAGGGAGGGACCAGACATATCCAAGGCCTCGCCTCCATAGCCCACCCAGACCCATCCAGGAATAAGCTTTACTTATCTGGCAGGATTTCTTACTCCAAGGAAGCTGACATATTAGGATTGATAGACATACACACTACCCTTAGTTTCTTAAGTATAATAAAACATTTCCATTGTATTTATTTTTAGATGAATGCTAAAGCATTTAGGACTTTAGAGTCAACTATTAATTTTTACATGGTATAGCATATGTGTATATGCATAAATATATTTAAAGTCAGAAAATATTACAGAATGCTAACAATTATTTTACTTAGATGAAACACACATGGGAATTCTAATTCTCTATATGTGTGAAAATCTACTTACAACACTGCCCTTTTTAAAAAGCCACAATAGCTCTCTCAAAGATTTAATGGAGGGCCTAGTTTAGTTTAGAGCCTTATTGCCTCTTTTTAAATGTACAATTCTTAATGAAATTTTTCTATTTCTCTAGAATAAAACAGATTAGAAGCAGAAAATTAAAAGAGGAAGAAACGGACATTAGAGACAATCATGATCAATAAAATAAAGATTTATAAAGTACTTACCTAAGCTCATTAATGGTCATAATATGATCCTGGCCTTAAAGGTTATTCTTCAAATTATGAATAGATAAGCCAACTGTGGAATAGCAGTTAAAAATAAAAGAACAGTGCAAGAGCCCGAGTTCGATCCCTGGTACCAAAAATCAAAATAAAAAAATAAATGAATAACCAAGCCACTAAAAAACATAAAGGGGAAAAAAAGCAATCTTAAATGCATATTGTTTAGTGAAAGGAATCAAGGTGAAAAGCTACATACTGTAGGATTCTAATTATGAGACACTGTGAAAAACCCAAAACTAAAGGGACAATGAAATCAATCGTTGGCAAGGGTCTGTGGCAAAGGGTGAGAGTAGGATAAATTGGTGAAGCCCAGGGGAATTTTAGGGTCATGGAACTATTTTGTAGGGTACTATCATGGTGGATACACACATTATACATTTCTCTAACCTATAAAACCTTATAAAAGTGTGAGCCTGAGTGAAAACTATGGACTTTCATTAATAATAATATGGCAATATTGGTTCAATTTTAACAAATTTACCACCCTAATGCAAGATGGGTATTAATGCAAGATGTTATTAAGGGGGAAACCTGCAAAGGACGCTGGGTAGAAGAAGTATAAGGGAATACTCCGTATAATCTGCTTAATTTTCCATACATTGAAAAATGCTCTTCAAAATATTGTATTAATTGTTAAATTTTATTTTACATGCACCACTCATTTTCAACAAATGCTAACTAAATGGGTTCTGTTGGAACAGGCATCCATTGCTCACAGTTAAGTCTTTTATCTGCAATAAAGTAGGTTTTTATGAATTGTCAATCACTTTTACATATGCTCAAATAATGAGCGTACAAATTATGGGTAGGCCCTGAGCAGGGTTTTGAAAAGTGTGGTCCTCAAGCCACCTGCACCACAATCATTTTGGATGCTTGTTAAAAATCACATCCCTACCAAATCAGAACCTCAAGGAGTGAGCAATCTGCATTTATAACAAGTTCCCTGGGGGTTGTGATGCATGAGCAGGGTGAGAAGCGCTGCATTAACAGTATAGAAGGATACTTAAGGAATTCTCCTTTCTTTACCACTTATAAAAGGCAAACAATTAAGACATACCAGCTGCCCAGTAATCAAGAGCAGGTTTTTCTTCATCTCTTTTGCACAAAATGACAATCGGTGACTGACTTTGCCACTTCAGAAATTCCAGCCATAGTACTAAATTCTCCAGAATCATCTTATTATCTAACACCTTGTTAAGGAAATGCTGGTTTTCTCAAAAAAGAAATAACTAACAGATGAATGACATGACCCTTCTGTATCATTTTTAATTGAAGCCATATGAATCATAGTTTTAACACAAGATTAAAGACGAAGCTTTTGGATGCTTTGACTTCTTATTCCCCAAACTGAATAAACACTTTTCAATCAAATTTCCCGATAACACTGTCAATTCCTTTTCTCCCCCCACGAAAATTAATTTCTAAGATAATTTGATCTTGACCTTTTCAGGAAGATATAATTTTGCAACATCTGTATCAAAGAAGGTCACAGTGTCAGAACAGAGGGCAGCCTCATGGCAAGGCCCTAGGACAATCACAGAGTAGGCCTGATCAATCCTCGTTGTCATTATTTCTTTCAGACTCTTCTCTCTGCCCTTTAGTGATCCTGGCCATTCACCTTTAAGCTGTATGGCATTGTTATTACCTCAATTTATCTAGTGGTCAAACTTCAAACGATCTTTGAAACATAGCAGAGACATGTGTTTTTCAAATCTTTGCTGTATACTTCTGGGTCTTTTCCCTCCCTTATCTTGACATTTACAGTCCTTCTTTGGTGGAAATGATCTGTTCTTAGCCATTTGCACCATAAGAAAATGCTGCTTAAATTTGTGCACACCAGAATTGCCCGCAAGGCTTGTGAAAGCACAGACTGCTGTGCACCTCTACAGTGTGTGATTCAACAGTCTGAGGGGTTGTATTTCTAATAAGTTCCCAGAAGACACCAATGCTGCTGGTCTAGGGACAACATATTGAAAATCACTGACATAAGGTAATTTTCCATCTCTTTTGGCTATTTGTTCCAGATAATGTTGGGACTGGCATTGTACTTTATATAAATTTTTGCAAGATTTATCACTATAATTTTACTACACCCAGAGGATATAGCAAGATAATATAAACTGACAGCTCCTTTTGACAAAGGGCAGGGCAACCACACCCTTATTTTTCTATGCCTAGAGAGGTCTATGCGATAGAAACCTCAATGACGATCCTGGCCATGTAGTAGGCACCAAATCATAACTAGTCAACATTCATCTGTCCCTGGTTGAGCATTTCTATTTCATTTCTATTTCCTTGCTCCATAGTCTCGGCAAATCTGTTGGACTTGGACTCATTCCACGAAGAGTTGCCTCTTCCCACCGAGAACCTATGTTCCCCCACTGCCACCTTTCTGACCTCAGTCTTGGGTCCTCTCCATCTGGTCTCCCCAAGGACCTGAGGAGTTCCGGCCCAATACCTTCACAGGTTCCTCGGTGTGTAAGGTGTATGACAAATCTCTTTCTCGTGGCTGGCTCCTCTGGGATGTGTTTGGAGAAGTATGTTTAAGCTCTTTACACTGAAGAATGCCTGAGGTAAGGTGAGGCGAGAGTCACTCTGGGAAATGGATAAGTAAAAACGCCCCTCAGTACAGTGTACAAGAGAAAAGGAAGCTTTTACACACAAAGGTATATTGTTGAAGAAATAACAGTTACTGCTGTCTTTGATCATCTCTCGCGTTTTCTTTAAGAAAAGTGCAATCCGGAATGGCTTTGCGGGCGCCAGGGATTTAGCTCACTGGTTCCGCTGCCTGCCTCGCAAGCTCAAGGACCAGAGTTTGATCCCCGGTACCAAAAAAACAAAACAGAATGGCTTTGCAGGGGTGAGGACCGGGAATCAGACTCAGGACCTTGCGTTTGTCAGGTAGGCGGCAGCACCACGATACAGGAAGTAAAAGTTCAGAAGACTGCCTTCGGCCAGAAGTGCAGAATGTTTCTTCACCAGAAGAGGGCAGCAGACCACGTTACAAGGGGCCCCAGGCGAATAGCAGTTCCACCATAAACCCAGGTCTGTAAATCTTGGTAAATAGGCAAACACTGAGTGTGGCACATTAAACTGTAGCCTTTCCTGCCGTGTTAGTAAACCTCATGACCAAGCACTGTATGAGAAAAGAGCACAAGACTGCACATCTGAAAAGACAGATTCCAGCACTATCCAGCTGTTTGACTTTAACCAACCACTCCAAGTCTCCATTTTCCCACTAGTAAAATGAAAGGAAAAATAAATGCCCATATCAATTGCATCAGGCTTATCACTTAGAGATCTGCTATGGGGGCCAGTAAATAAAAGGGGAAAAAAATCTATACACACAGAATTTAGTTATTTCCCAGGCTGTGAACAAAAGAATATTATGTCAAGTTCCACCTCAGCAAATCATGACGCAAGATCCAAAGCCCAAGAATTCTTTAACCTTGCCATGTCTTGTGGAAAGACACTTTGAACTCCAGCCTACAGATCAGAGGGGATTGCTAGAATAGGGGTCCATTCAGAAAGGACCAAATTCTCACTGGGTAATTAATGTGGTACCCAAAGCCATACATTTAAAAGAGACTGGCAAAAGAGAAGTCAGGAGCCACAACACAGGGAAATGTTGTCTTTCCAAAACAATTATTGCAAAATAGCAGAACCTGCGCATCCCAGAAAACTTCAGGGAAAATATTACTTAGCTTGTATGATTGCATCTTCCACAGTACATACAAGACCACCGCCAGGCACTGCCAGCCAGACGTTAAGAACTCTACTAGTTTTGTGGTCTTCCTGTGCTTAGCTTATATTAAAAGAGGAACAAAATTAAATGCCAAAGTTAAAAAATCACAAATTCTTGTCTGTAGAACAGAGTTCCAAATGATTTCATTCTATGCTAATGTGACAGGCTATTAACTGTTATCGCTGCACACAATTTTGATTTTAGACAGTGACTGTTTCTCTTTCCTCCAAGCCCCACTCAACATTCTCCCTTCTGCTGGGGAAATTTCTCTAACTCATCTTCCTACTGTTTGCCCCACAAGTTCATTCAAATTGACACCTGAAAATTAATTTGCACCTTACTATTTTACAAAAATAATCCCAGAAGGAGGTACCAAGTGATCTATCCCACTAGAATTAAATCTAAATTCTAATTTTTGGTCTCACCTATGGATTATATAAATAAGAACACTTTAGGGGCAGCTCAAATGAGATAGGATAATTTTTCTATCCTTTAAATTATTTTCTCAACATACCTGTGCTGGTTACTTTTAAATTTCCTTCATCTGTTCCTTAAAATCTGGCTAACAATTATAAATAGTGCCTTCTTTTTTTTTTTTTTTTTTTTATTTTTTTTTTTAATTGAGTTTATTGGTACATTTAGGGATACAGTACAGTTACATTCATTGTTGGGATCATGTACCTTTACATGGCAAGTCTTGATTCTCATTTTTTTCCCCTTACCTCTGCCCTCCCTTCACCCCCTCCTCCCCTCCCCATCTACAAATAGTGCCTTCTTAAGTGAAAAGAAAGATACCACTGAATTTTTCCTCAAAGAACTTGTTAAACTAAATCAAAACAATCTTTGGAATAGTCAAGTCTTTTCTAGACAAGTTGAGGAACTTTCTAAAGTGTAATGACTATGTATGGGAATTTTTAAAACCCAATGTGTGTTGCTTTGAGACAGGTTCTCTCTCTGGCTGGCCTTGAACTCACTATATAGCCTAGACTGGCCTTGAACATGTGATTCTCCTTCCCTAGCCTTCACAGTGCTGGGATTATAAGCACACCCAGTTACTTTATACTTAAGACCAATGTAAGAAGTATGTTTGAATCATGAAGTGAATATTTAATTTTTAAAAAACACTTATTTTAATAAAAGACACAGTGCCATTAACATTCTTTAAAACATTTATCCTATTGGCCTTGTCACTTTCTGAAGCAGTTCTGGAAGTATTCTTTTATGTTTCTTTCATTGTGCTGCCTTGATGCGCTAATTTGATTCTAGCCATTTACCTTTCCTGCTGGTTTTGACTTTAGGGGAGAGCCATACATTCTTCCCCTATGCTAGAGCAGTGAATGAGGTGAGGGAGGATACCCCAAATGTTTTAGGAGCTTGCCTTCTGTTGGACGGCCCTCAGCAGCAGCACGCTCCATATTTTGTAATCAACACTCACAAAGGCAACTCACAAAAGGCAATTCCAGAACTGCTTCAAAAATGGCAAGAGCCATAGGATATAAGAGTTCAAAGCAAGGGGGAATATTTGAGGTGGAATAAGGCCACTGTGCCTTTAACTATAGTTTTTTAAATTTAAATAGTCACCTCATGTTTTAATCACCCTTCATGGCTTCCTTTTGAATGCACATGGTGTGGTGACATTCACTGACACTACCTATTTATTCCCACCCTCCAGGCACATGACAACACCACATTTACCTGCCCCCTGCAGTTAGGTGGGGTCACGTGAATTGCTTTAGCCAATGAAAGGAGAAAGTGAATGAACTGCTTCTGGTCATATGGCTTTAAGAGTCAAGGCCTGATTGGCCCTCTTCCCTCATCCTACCACAGGGTCCAGCACTGTAGCATATAATGGAGGCCCCAACTACCGACCCTGAGTGGGGCAATCACAAATCAGTCACCTTAAAGGTAGACATCTGGTGCTGAAGACCAATAGACAATAAATCTTTGCCGTTTTAAACTACTAGAATGTCAGGGTTGTTTACAACACAACATAATCCATCCTATCCTAACTGATGCATTTCAGAAAATCTTAACCTCTGCCCTGCTCTCAGCACAGGTTTCCATGATGGGTAATGTTAGGAAATGTATCACAGGACAAAAGGAATGCAGTTCTTGAAAGGTGTTGGGAAATTATAGAAAAGAGCCACATTTTCAGAGTCAAGATATGCCAAGGTTCAAAATGCAGATCTGATAACACCTTTGATTAAACAGAGATGTTTCTTAAATGCACTCACTCCCCTTCACTATAGAATGAGAATAATGTGTACCTTTCTTAAATAAGGACTTACATGCAAAATACCTTTCACATAATAAATGCTCATATCGCAGCTGCTATTATCACCTGTTATTTTGGAGGAGATTCTGCCAGTGAGCAGTGCAGGAGCAGAACAAACATTTCTACATGTTTATCCTGAAAAAAATTATGTTAAGCATTACCACTTAATTTTCTAGTTAAACTACAAGTCTTGTACTGGAAGTACAAATTTTACTAATAGCAGTATTGGCTTCTTATGAATGCAAAAAGTAATGAATATATAGATGTTAGTACACAGAGTCAGTGATAGAGAGATGTATTTACTCAATTTATGAAATGGTGACCTTGAAACTCTTATGCAAAAAAGCCATTCATCCTAATTGTAAAGTACATGAAACTAGCAATAAGAGTGGTAATATAGATAAAGGATAAAACAAGAATTAGAATGGTTCTTAAAGCAACATTTGTCTACTTTCTTCTCATTATGCCTATTTTAAAAGGTGAGGTATGTTCCTAACCCCCCAAATTAAAATTCCTCACCTCAATAAATCTGGTGTTTTACAATGAGATATACTGCCTTCCTCCACAAGTTCAAAAAGGTTTTCTACACCTTGGGGTAACCAGAGATGAACTTCTTAATAAAATTTCAATTTGTAAGGTTTAGATATTATTTACTTCTTGATTATAGAGTAATTTGTGAGCCTTGCCCAACATGGCTACAAAACTTCCTCTGGCAATGGAAGTAAATTGATTAGATCTTTTTACAGAATAATGCACGGGTTGATCCAAATTTTTTTTCTCTCTCAAGTCTCACTGATCACCTCACTATTTACTTTCTGTCACATTAATCCTAGCATGCTAGCCACCAGGCAAAACAGATATTTATCTAAGAATTTTTATCTTTGTTAAGCAAATGATTCTGTATATAATAAATTCCTTCTGTGAACACCAAATCCACCCGAGCAGAGAAAGGCTCAAGTTTATCCATCTCTTTCACCTTTGTCAAAGATTTGCTGACACAAACCCTTGCTTCTCATTTGCACTGAAGACTCCTTTCCTTATGTTGCACTTACAGAGCTATTAGCTCCCTGTTGCAATGGCTCAGGACCTGGTTATACCCTCAAAGTCAGCAAAGATGCACCCAACAGTGTTACGGCAGCCCAGTGGAGACACTGGCTCTTTCCACTGATCACTGGCAAGACAACATAGTCCACACAGACACTGCAGGCTGGCCATTCACAGCCTAAAGAAGCAGCCCATTATGTTCTCGCAGTGTTATCAGTTCGGGTCATAAATACTTGGGCAGAGGCCCTCTTTCCCAGGAGGGAGTCACTGCTGCTATGGATGGGAGGCACCAGCACATGAGGATCTGCACTGGGATTCCAGATAATGGTGCCCCCTGAATGACCTCCCTGGCCAGCTATTAATCATTCAGCCAAACTTCAACTGGGAAAAATATAACAAAAACATTCAAATTTCACAGTACATTTTAAGATAATCTCAAGCAGCACCCACAGGCCCAATAACAGAAAGGATATTTCAAAGTGGAAAACTGTCTTCAATCTCTCTGGGGCCAGGACAGAGGGCTGTAATAGAAACTGCCTAGAAACCACCCCCCACCCAGGTCCTCAGTGCTTCGGGCTGACAGTCACGGAGAACCGTGTGGAAATTGGTTGGATAATATGCATTTCCTTTGGGCCACATGCTGGGAATCTGGTTGTAATCATGGTTGTTACCGATCAGAGCCGGACTTTGGCTGATGATATATGAAGTAGGGTAAGGACATGGGCTTTTGTAAGCAAATGTACATAGTTCCCTGACTTTGCTCTCAAATCCTCACACAGCACTCGTCAGAACAGTACAGCAGCTGCCCTGGAAAGGAACATCCATCCTAAACAGTTATGAGATAGGCCAACATGATGGCAGCCAGAGAAGTGAATTCCAACATAACAGATGTTTAACTGTTCAAAGGTTCAGAAAAGCAGAGTAGATGAGAAACAGAAGCACGAAGCCAAGGCCTTGCCCATGAAGCAGATGCTCAGAAAACAAAATGCTACATATAAAGCCACATTCCTAAGAAGATAGTCAACAAGAAGTCTTTGCCCAGAGTCCTAAAGATCATACCTAACACCGGTTTGGTCCTAGGCTAGAACAGACGAAGATCACAGGTCAGAATGACATGGCTTGGAAGCCTTTGGTAAGAAATAATAAAAGTTTGTTTTGAAAATCCAAATAAAATTGTGCCTCCGCCTGCTTTAGAGCCAGCTACACTATAGAGATGCTTTTCAAAACAAACAAGAGAGGCTGAAGGTAAAGCTCAGGGGTAGAGCACATGCTTAGTATTTCCTGGCACCTTGGGCTCCATCCATAGTGCAAAAAGAATGAAATAAATAAATACAAACAGCAGCTGAACACTGGATCATTACTGAAGATTTTCATAAAGGGGAGCTGCTGCATAAACTACGATGCACAGCGCACAACAAAACTTGCTAAAAATCTTTGTTACTTATCCCTGCCTACCCTACCCAAGGCCTAACTCTTGGCACACATGCACCTACTCTCATTTTCTGCCCCTTCAAATCTTTCAGCATTCTTTGGCTCCGTAAATGGTCAGCTTCTTTATTTTATTGCTCTTTCTTATGTTCAGTGATTAAACCTCTGGGCTTCTTCAGTTTTTACCATTGCTCATATCCTCAGGTGGATATAGTAGTTCTGAAAAAGAAGAATCCCAGTTCCTGATAAAATGGAAGAGAGAAAAGTTTCTAATAAATCACACTTTGAATATTAGTATTTCTCCGTGTACACAAACACACCCACACATATGCATACACACATGCACACACAGAGACACTCATACTCCATAGTTCTAGCTTTTGGGGAAACCAAAGTCATGAGAATACCTGCTTATGGACTGATGCTATCTACCCAACACCACCTCACAAAGTCTATTCACTCCCATGTCCATGTGGAAATTCTGGTTAATATTTGACTATTTTCATTTCATACTGCTGCTGAGAAAAATTACTAGAAACCTAGTGGCTTCAAGTAACGCAAATTCTTTTACGGTTCTAAAGGTCAGAAGTCTGAACGAATCTCTCAGATCTAATACCTAGGTGCTGGTGGAGCTTCTTCTTTCCAGGAGCTCAGGTGAGAATCTGTTTCTCGCCATTTCTAGAGGCAGTAGACTGTCCTCGGCCGGTCGTGGCCTCACTCCAATCTCTTCCTTCTCCCATTATGACATCTGCTACTCCTCACTCTGATTCCTGCCTCTCTTGTGTAAGGACCTTCCGAGTACATCAGACCTACCTGCACCACCCAGACTACAAAATCCTTAAAAATCTCAACACCTTTACTGGTATCTACAAATTCCCCCTTGCTACGTAAGTAACATTCACAACTTCCAGAGGTTAGTTTGTGGACTTGCCTGGGAGCTCACTACTCACCCTACCAAACTGGCTCTTGGATGTTACAAACTTCATTTTTAAAAATCAGTACAAATTCAACGGGAAAGAATTGCAAAGTGAAATCGCCAGACTTGCAAAAGATGAATAACTTCATACTCAACAAAAGTTATGGTTGAGAAATAACAAATGTTGGAAGGGTTGTGGGGAGAAAGAAACCCTTCTTCACTTTTGGTGGGAGTGCAGACTGGTGCAACCACTGTGGAAATCAATATGGAGATACCTCAAAGAGCTTGGATTAAAAGTCCCATTTGACTCAGCTATTCCACTGCTGGGTATCTTCCCAAAACAATTAAAAGAATCATACCACAGTGATATATGCTCACCATTTTTATAGTGGCAAAATTTGTAATAGCTAAAACTTGGAAACAGCCCAATTGCCCATCAGCTGGAGACTGGATAAAGAAGATGTGGTTTTTCTATAAAATGGAGTACTACTCAGCCATAAAGAACAAGAAGCCAGAGACATTTATAGCTAACTGGATGCACATTGAGGCCATACTCTTACGTGAAATTACTAGGACACACATATGTAAATACTGAATAGTTTCTCTGGTATGATAAACTAAGAGTATAAATAAGAATCAAAATGTATAATTGATACTGTGTAATAGGAAAAATGTCTAAAGGTGTAGGGGAAGTGAGAGGGGTAAGGGAAAGCTAAGAAGGGAAAAGAAAAAAATTAGAGAAAAGGAAAAAAATGAAAAAAATATGGTTGAGAATTGCTGGAATTATGAGCAAAGTCACTGAAAAATGAGAGTCCTACAGAGATAAAATTCTTTACAGTAGAAAAAATAGAAAATTAGCAAGGATAATAATAGCTGGGCACAAGAAAACAAAAATTACTTAAACACCACCTGATTAAGGGAGAGTCTTGGGAAAACTGATGAAGTCCTCAAGTTTTCACTTATATTGCAAAAATGTGAAATAAATGAATATAATCATGTAACTGTCTTCAAAGTATTTTTATTAAAAACGAGTCAACCTTGATTCATTTATTCTAATTTATAATCATGTTAACTTTATCCCGAAAAGAGAACTTATTTTCATTATTTTTGTTTTTCAAAATAAATAACCAATTTAAACATGTTTCACTATTTACTGTAAAGTTTTGGCCCCTATTTTAAGTAAATTCATTTGAAGTGGCTGTCTTCTTGTAATAGCCCTAGAAAAAGGGTGAAGGGTGGGGAAAGTCTCCAATGAAGACCAAAACAAGCTCCTCAAAATAAGGGTCAGGCAAGAGACCTTCGTGCAGCTGAATGGAGAGTGTGGAGAACAAGACCCAATGTCTGGGCCGGGGATTTAGTTCAGCGGTTCGGTGGCCTGACACGCAAGCGCAAGGACCCAAGTTCTATCCCCAGTACCAAAAAAAAAATATAGACCTGATGTCACCCTAAGCTGAGCCCCTGTCCCTATCTGAGGCAAGGATTTTTCCGATAACTGAATTTTCTGCCTGAAACTTCTCCTGTAAGGGAAAAAATTACCAGTCTGGTAAACTTCATAACACAAAGAGATTACAAATGTCATAATATCACCCGAGAATATTGCTAAACATCTTTGCGAAGAGAGTGACAAAATACATCTTTTACTGCGTTAACTCCAAAGTGCCAAGAATTCTCTAGGGTGCGCTCTCACTCATCTTTTGCAAATGAAGTATGAGCTACCTTTTTATTTTTCAGAGAAGAAACCAAGTTTACATAAAAGTTGAACAATTTTCCCAATATCAAACAGACAAGAAATAGGGGAAACTGAGGTCTTCCCAGGGGCAAAGTTCACGCCGTTCCATTACACTGGGTTTCTTCGTCTGACTGCTCACCACAGTAGTGTGTCCTTGCTCTTCCCTGTCACCAAGGCTTAGTGACAGAGTAGATTTGTAGACAGGGACTGGAGCAGAATGACCAAGCGTATTCGCGGGACATCTGGCCCGTGAACTCTCCAAGACCTCTCGATTTTGTGACCTTGAAGAATGACGAATGTTCTCAATCTTTTGGGGGGAAAAAAAAACCAATCTCTGCTTTGTCTGTAAAATGACCATTGTATCAGCTTTTGCCTGAGATAGTTGTTGACATCAAGAAGGGTCACCTTCAAATTCAGGTAAAAATCCAGTAAATCTTAAATTTAAAGATGTCCATTCAGTACCTTTCCAATGAAGGCACCAACAGGAACATCTGAAATTAAACAAACTAGTTCTAAAGTGAATGTGGGAAAAGAAAACTTGCAAGAGTAGTCAAGACTCTTTTAAGAGACTGATGAGAAGCCGAGCCCAAAAAGGGAGAAAAAGATAATTACAAAGCTATGTTCAGTAAAACAGTTCAGAACTGTACCTAAAAGGGCAGAATAATAGAGAACAGAGTCTTGAACTCTCAAATATATACAGCAACTTAAGACATGAATAAGTTTCTTTCCAACTTACTATGTATAAGATGGATTGTCCAATAAAAGTTGTCAGAACAACGGAGGAACCATCTGGGGGAAATATATTTCTACCTCTTACCTTTCACAAAAATAGACAGATAAATGATTTCAAAATACAAAATGAAACTATTAAAATTCCTAAAATGAAATACAGAAGAAATTTTTACAATCTCAGTATAGGGTGATTCTGAAACTACCTCAAAACTATAAATTAAAATAATAAAGTGACACAGTTGTATGCTCCCAGCCCAGACCCTGGATGTGTACCTCGAAAACTCTGACCCATGGCATAGTCAAGAGGAAGAGTCTTGCTAAGTTGCCCAGGCTGGTCTTGAACTTGTGATCATCCTGCTTCAGCCTCTCAGCATGATGGAATCACACAATGGCTTCATCATCATCATCTCAAAAGAAAACAGAACCCAAAATAAGAAAAATGGAAAAAGGAAGAGTCTTCATTGAAAAATGGACAAAAGTGTTTTTTTGTAAAGTTAAGGCACCCTGATTAATTTTTCTAAATCAGTTTGTCTCACCAGACTATAGCCAGATGAATAGAGGAAATGCGGAAATCTACTAAAACGGATTTAAGAATGAAGCTGCTAACTTCAAACTTCAGTCTTTAGCAATGGATGAAAGTGCTGATGTAGCAGATATTGTTCAACTCGATGTTTTTAATTAGCAATATTATAGTATGAATATAGTATTTCTGAAGATGGCTTCTTCGATGCCATTAAAATACAGCAAAATCTCTTCACTTGTATGAAGAAGTAAAAATATAAATACCAAATTTCTTTAAATTTTGTCAACATATCTGGTGTAGCCACAGTGGTACCTGTTGGAAAGAGGGATTTAAACTGGGCGTGGTGGCACACTCCTATAATCCTAGCATTCAGGAGGCTGAGGCAGGAGGATTGCCAGCCTGGGCTACATAATGAGTTCCAGGCCAGCCTAAACTGCACAGTATAAAACTGTTTCAAAAAAAGAATAGAAGGGAGGGGGCTGGGGATTTAGCTCAGTGGTGCTGCTGCCTGGCCCTGTACATGAAAGGTCCTGAATTCGATCCCCAGTACCCAAAAAAAAAAAAAAAAAAAGGGGATTTATAAATTAATGACAGATAATCCAATTGTCGCTGGCATGTCACATTTAGTAAAACATTGCTGCATCAGACATCAGGGAAATTGATGTGAGAAAGCTTTAAAATGGGTGTTATGGGAGCAGGGTGTGGTGGCGCACACCTACAATCCCAGTACTCAGGAGGCTGAGGCAGGAGAATTGCCATGAGTTCAAATAGTGAGTTCAAAACTAGCCCAAACTATGTAGGGAGACCGAGTCTCAAGTAAAAAAAAAAAAAAGGATATCATGCAAATCATTATCAAAGCTGTGAATTTCATAAGATGCTAGGGATCAGGATCAAATCATCACCAATTCCGTAAGTTTCTTAAGAGTAAGGATGCTGAAAATGGGGACATCATTACTTTATTGGAGTGAGGGGGCCAAGTTGGAGTAAAATGCTGAAAAGATTTTGTGAATTGTGAAGTGATATCATCATTTATGGAATCTGAAGATAAAAAATTCCTCACCGTTTTTTTTGTTTGTTTGACTACTCATTTAAATGGGAAACGTGTCATCAAGGTGAAAGTCAATTTATTTGTGCTATATTTCAATACAGTGTACAAAACGGAAGGGGGAAATGGAGAAAAAGGGTGGGATGTACCATGTACAGGTGCAAATGCCCTATGATGAATGTTACCATCATGTACACTTAAAATGTACTAATAAATGTTGTGCTATAAAAACATAAAATGACTCCACAACAGTCTTCAATTGCTCTCTCTCTCTCTCTCTCTCTCTCTCTCTCTCTCTCTCTCTCTCTCTTTCTTCTTTTATCTCTCTCTCTCTCTCTCTCTTCTTTCATCTTGCTGTATAGTTTAGGCTGGGCTTGATCCTCCTGCCTCAGCTTCCTGAGTGCTGGTTACAGTCCTGTACCACTACTCCCAGTTTACAATCTTTAATTTCTGCATGGAAAGAAATCACAAAATAATCCTGTGGTTTTTTCCTAGTCACCTTTGTGCCTCAAGCAATGTCACTTCCTTTTCTATTGCCTGAATATGTTCTTTTCCTGGTGCACAAATAGCAGGAGAAAATGTTCGTAATATGTGTTAAATAGTCCCACAAATCAATAAGAAAATAGCAACTTCTAAGGGAAAAAATGGGCACAAATTGTAACTCACAGAATATGAAATACAAATGGTTTTCCAACATATTAGAAGGTAGTCACCTTTACTCAGAAGTGAAACTCAAATAACAAAAAGTTCTACTTCTTAAGTAACAGATTTGATTT